TGCTGGTGCGGGTCACCCAGGCACACGCGGTGGCGCAGGGGGGCACAGCCTGCATAAAGGCCTGTCCTGCCTCTCACCGAGCGCAACCCGCAAAGCCGGAGCGCAGACTTGCAGCCCTGCCAAGTGTTTGAGTACTAGAGGCAGAGACAAGGGATGGTGAATGTGAAATGTTGGGAGCGCATAAAGGAAAGGGGGAGAGTGATGCAACCTGACAAAGCTTTCTTCAGCTCCATTTTTCATCCTCTTCCACAGGTCTCTTTGAACAGAGGGTCGAACAGTATTTGGAAGAGCTTCCAGACACTGAACAAAGTGGAGTAAACAAGTTCCTGCGAGGCCTTGGTGAGGAAAGTCTTTAAAAGTATTTCTGAAATTGATTTATCTATTTTTCTTAATGTAGAAAAATCTTACCTGAGATGAAGTCACGTAATCAGCCAGTGGTTTCAATATAGGCTAAGAAATATCAAAAGGAAAAGAAAATATACTTAAAGCTGACAAAGATTCACTTCTGACCCTGGTTAGCACTTTAATTGCTGTTTGGGGAAAAAAAACTCAAAACTTGGGCCATTCAAGAGTCTTTTAATTGGATATATCTATTTATATTAACTAGAAGATTCACCCTGCAGTAGTTACGTTACAAACTAGACACACTCGCTAAGTGAATTTTGCACTTTTTCAGTATATGCTAATATTGTTTTCTTTAGGAAACAAAATGAAGTTTCTTCACAAGAAGAATTAACTCCTTTCTGCTAAAACGCCAACCCAAAGACTATTTATAACACTGTGCTTGAGACACCTGCAAATTTTCAGATTTTGGAGGAAGGAGAATGAAAGAAGCTGACGACAGCTTTAAGTGACTGCAGTTGCTGTTAGACAGTGTGCCAGGCGATGGCTCTTTTATGTATTTGGATAGAATTTGTAAATAATGTGCTGTAAGCTTTTGTAACTGATTTTGTAATGAGCAAGAACTGTGGTAAATATTTGTATATTCCTGAGAATAACAGGTGCTTTTTCTTTAGTATGAATTGAGTTATGCTTGGTGCAAAAGTGAATAGCTGATTATGTGCAGCTGACTGTCTCAGCAGAACCACTGACTTCAAGGGGTGTTTGTGAGAACTGCACTGATGCCTGAGTACTGCGGTACCGAACGAACGCGGGGGACACAGGAGAGGCTCTGTGCAGGGGCACCGCGTGCGTGTTGCGGAGTTGGAATTTTTTTTTCCTAATTTCCTTCAGAAATAACAAAGTAACTTTATATACTTGGTTCACCATGCGAAACTTCTACTTGGTTTGAACTCTGGTCAGTAAACTACTTGTAACACATTTTGCATTAGGACTGCTAAACGTGAGCAAAGCTCTGTTCTCTGACATGCAAGCTGCCATGACTAGGTACATTGCATCCTTTACTTATGTATGTAAGTATGGTTTCTAATAAACTGTGTAAATATGTCTGTCTGTTTACATTCATTGGAAACCCTTGCAGATTTCTGTTGTTGAGTAGGTTCAAAATCAGAGTATTTTTTCTGTTATTTTTAATGAATTTGTAATTAAAATACAAAATTATTATTATGAACCTGTCTCTTAATAGGTTTGCTGTATTTCATACATGCAGGGTTTTCTTCCTACTTGATGTTATTCACTAAGGCTTAAATGACATTTTCTGTCACTGTTGTTAATGTAAAGCTAACAAATCATCTCTTTCTAGCCTTTTTACTTTACACAGGATATTAATGTTTGTCATTATTAATATCAAAAATACTATTCCTAATTGCGTTCTCTTCAGTTTGATTTTGAGCTAACTTGTTTAAATGATCTGAGTAGAACAAGGGCTTTTAGCAGAGCCGTTGCCCAACTTTCTGATGAGCTGATGACCTTTTACACTGGTTTCTTCCTCTCTTGGTGGTGCTTTTCATCTCCGTGAAGACCATTCAGCAGGTCCGACATGGTTAGTTGTGTGCAGCAGTGAATATTACCTAAGTCCCATATTTATCTTTAATCTGGTAACATAACATACTGTGATTTTGCTGCTCCGTTGTTGTTATTCTACAAGATTTTCCTTAGTTTGAAGGGAAAAAAAACATAAATGTTTGAAAATATTTGCAAGTCTGCCAGGTAATGAAAATTCTACCCCCTTTAAAAAAAGAACACTTTTTTTCCCTGCCATTTACAGTGTGTTTTCTTTGCTTAATGAGAATGGTTTTGAGGCTTGCGCAATTCCTAACCTGGCAGTGGTTCTGGTTTGCTATCAGCCTCATAGAACAATATTGAGGGTTTATTCACTGAAAAGGTGAAGTAGTTTCCTTTTTCTTTTCTTCCCTCACACTCATACAAAGCTTGTTACGCATGTGCACACATGCTAAAGAATACCTGTAAAATGCCAAGTGCCTCCAATTAATTAGAATTGGAATGACAAGTGTGTGCTGTAAATTATAGAATGACTTGATTTGGTTCCTCAAACCACAGCGAGTAACATTTGATTTCACAGGTAAAATCTGGCTATCTCACGAACAAGAGATGCTGACAAAGACACAGGGAAAGCTCTGGAAGCGGCATCCGCATGGGCTGAAGGGAATGTTGCGAGGGGCGGTGGTCCTGCAACCCCTGTGGGTGCCGCTTCCAGAGCTTTCCCCGTGTTCTGGAAGGGAAAGCTCCGAGGGGCCGCGGTTACGGAGGGCTGGGGAAGGGCTGCAGCGCGCCCGCTCCCGCGCGGGGGCCCCTTCCCTCTACACGCGCTGCCCTCTAGCCAAGAGGGAAATCCTGAAGAAAAACACGTCCGGGCGCGACACCCATATATTAGAACTGGAAAAGATGTGTATTAAAAAAGCACATTTTAAGAAGCAACTGCGGAGCGATAAAGCACCGCCCGGCGGCTCTCCGGCGTGACGCCCACCGCCCCGCGCCGCAAATCTCGCGAGAGCTGGCTCCGTCCCGCCGCGCCCCGAATCTCGCGAGAGCTGGCTCCGCCCCCTCCGCACCACTAAATCTCGCGAGAGCTGGCTCCGCCCCCTCCGCACCACTAAATCTCGCGATAGCGGGGCGGGCCGCCCTCCCGCGTGCCTTGCCCGGCTCTCGCGAGCGCCGCGCTCTTTCTGCCGGAGGTGGGGCCGGGTCCGGGCCGTTGCGCGGCGGTACCGCGGTGTCGCTCCTTCTCCCAGCCTTCCCGCCTGCGGAAGACGCGGAAGCTGCGCGGACACGTCAGCCACGGCCACGGCCGCATCGGTGCGTAGCGAACCCAGCCCCTGCCCCGCGGGAGCCCCGGGCGGCCCCCCGGCATCTCCAGCGCGCCCGGCCCGCCCGGCGCCTCCGCCGTGGACGAGGCCGAGGCCGGCGCTGCGTGTACCTCGAGCACAAGTAGCGCTTTCCCTGTGAAGAACCTGAGTTTTCTCTTTTTAGGCAAGCACAGGAAGCATCCTGGCGGCCGTGGTAATGCCGGTGGTATGCATCATCACAGGATTAACTTTGACAAATAGTAAGATGCCTTTTTAAATTTGTATTAAGGAAATGTGCTTTCAAAGTAGTCAAGTTGCTAGAGCTGTTATATGTAGGCATCCAGAGTTCCCTGCAGTATTTTTTACACTCTCTACCATAAAGTGTAATGTTATAGGTACAGTCACCTGCTATCTTCATTTCTTCCAAAATTAGAGACTTTTGCACTGAAACCAGGCATCTTTGAGAGCTCAGTGCGGCGTTTGGTAAATTTACCAGACTTGCATGTTGCAGTTTGCTCAGTGCTGAGGAGTTGCCTGTGCAAAGTTGTGTAGACCCAAACCCCACTCTCCTTAACTATGTTTAGCCTTACGTTTAGTTAATGCCGAGACTAGAGTCACATTTGGGCACTGCCTGTTGCCCTGGTGTGCTAGAGTACTCGGAAAGCAACAACTAATCTATATTCACTGGCTGAGCCCTTTCATGATTCAGTCAGTCACCAGGTTAGTGACAGAAGCTCTGAGACTCCCTGTGTGGCACCATCCTCCTGACAGGGAATTAGGGCTGTCCAGGAGATGCAAGGTTGGACCTGACTCACCAGAAGGATTGGGTTGTAAGTTCTACTAGGGATAACAACTGTGTCTTAAGAAAATATTTTTTTTCTTTGGTCTGGAGAGTAATGGGTATTACATTTAATCATAAGAGGAACACTGTGAAAGTAAGATAAAAAGACCTTTTTATGATCATTTGGAGCAAGTAAATACACTTGTTCTGATGTGGATTTGTAGTGCTGTTTAGGAACAACTAAAAATGTAGTTTAATGCGGAATTTCTTTCTTCCACAGCCATCCTGGTTACTTTGGAAAAGTAGGCATGAGGCACTATCACTTAAAGAAAAATCAAAAGTTCTGTCCTACGGTCAATTTGGATAAACTATGGACACTCGTTAGTGAGCAGACCAGACTCAATTATGCCAAAAACCAGGCCGGCCTAGCCCCAGTCATCGATGTTGTGCGCTCAGTAAGTTTCTGCTTGTGTCCAAAGAAATTCTTCTCATAGTTGAGTGATGAATGACAAGTACTGCCTTTATTATGAACAACAGTGGAAAATGAGTTGTTTAGACTGTTACTGAAAGTATATATAAAAATGTGGTAGAATACTGCTGATTTCTATAAACCAATTTCTTCAAAATCGAGACTAGAGTCACATCCTAACACATTTAATTGTCTTGGTGTGCTATTGTTCTCGGACAGAAACATCTGATCACTGTTCACTGGCTATGATGCCTCATATCTCAGTCAGCCACCGAATCAGGAACACTAGTTTGCCTGGTGAACATGCTCTGCACCTCAAATTGAGATACCTGTATTTGCTGCTGCTTTTAACAAGCTTTGGCTTTGGAGGCTGGAGTATTAATGGGCCTTTTGCCATGACTGTGCTTTTAATATAAAGGATAGGAGCATAGTGAGTGGGAGAGAACACCTATTGCTGTGAAACTTGGAAAATGGGATAAAACACAGCTGCCTCTGCATCTGACTCCTTTCAGCTGTGTGCGAGATGCAGAGCCCTCTGCTCTGCTGGGAAGTGCCAGGTGTCCGGGCTTGTGGAGCAGACGCAATGGGAGTAGTCATGAGTAGCAAAAGTGTAGCTGACTGCTCTGTCCTTTGGAAAAGTGGGAGGAGAGAGGCAACTTGGCTGTGAGGGTTTGCACAGTCACCACAATATGGAATGCTGAAAGAATTTCTGATTCAAATATACAGAATTACTGAAAAATGTTAAATTTCTGCCTTTTCTTTGAACAACTATCATGCACAATATTTTTCTTTCATGTGTGCCAATTTTGTATTTGAGATGTAGTCACTAAAAACGTCATTATGTTTGTGATTTGGGTTTAACTGGTGCATGCTAAAAGAAGATCTGAATGTCGAAGCCTAGAAGGATGACTATAAATGCTTAATGTTTTTTTTAATCTTTCTAGGGATACTACAAAGTCCTGGGCAAGGGGAAGCTGCCCAAACAGCCTGTAATTGTGAAAGCAAAGTTCTTCAGCAGAAGAGCAGAGGAGAAAATCAAAGAAGTTGGTGGTGCCTGTGTGCTTGTGGCATAAAGGCCTTAACATTCTAATCAACTTTTTTGAATAAAGAAAATGTGTAAAAGTTATGGCCAATTTGATTTGGGTTTACAGAAGTTTCTGAAATTGTTTTCCTTCCCTCTCTCCCCCCCTCCCTTTTTTTTCCCCCTCCAGATACTTTTCAGGCTTAAGTCTTGTCCACTTGGTTATTATGAGTTCTTTTGTTTAATGGTTTGACAGATGTTTCTCAGTATTATTTGGAGCTGCCTGGTTACAGTGTCCCACATTCAGTTCTTATTTGGCATCTAATAATGTCTCGTTGTTTTATCTTTACCAGGTAGTTTGGTTCTTCCTGTATTTGTGCAGTTTTTTAATCAGTTATCCTCTTCACAAGGACCCTGCCTTGACTTTTGGGGATGGGAATGTTAAAGTGAGGACAAAGTACGAAACAGTGCAGAGTGAGTAGCAGTATAAAAACTTGCTGAATGAAAGAGACTTGGAGTAGGCAGTTACTTGTGATCAGCGGGCCCCAGGCTTCCTTTCGGGACTACCTAACAATTCTAGATGTGTTTCCATCTAATGGTGGAAGAAGGATATAGCAGGGAATCAGGGGAAGTAAGTGGGAATTAAGTTCAAGTTCCTACTTCATTTTATGATTGCCAGTCTTTTGTAATTAGAAGTGCTTGAACCAGGAATGAAGATCCATTTTTGTACAGATGCTGCCCATGGTTCTGTCTAGGATACAGCTGTGTCGTGAGCAACATCAGCTTCTGAGCACAACAGTCCTGCGTTGTGTCCCGTCTACAGTTAGCAGGACTTGGAGTTGCAGTAAAAGGTGGTCTTCCCTCTTCGGCTCCATGTATAGAAATTAGCTGCATTTAGAAACTGCTGAGAGTACAAACTGAGGTTTGTATAATTGTAGGAGCGTAAGTCTGGTAGTCATCCATAGTGTAAATGGTATCTGTCTTGTGATTATAACACACTTTCAGTTTCTAGTCAGGGACAAACCTTTCTGTGGCTGTAGTGATTGAGGCTGACCTACCGTGGGATCCAAGTGGCCTGGCAGGATACTAATTTTGAATTTAACAATACATAGTGGTTGTAATGGCAGCATGATGGATCTGTGCTATTAGTAACGTGGCAAACTAGTCAGCTTGCGTTCAGGTAAAAGCTTTTTAAATGCCCTGTCACAGTTAGGAGTTTTAAACATGGCAGTTCCAAGCTGGTGTGTCTTCAGGTGTTAAAAATAGTATATTACTATCTTCATGGAGTCTCATTCCAAATACTCTTCCTATAAGCTAATAAGTAGCAATGTGCTAAAACTGTTGCTTAATGTCTGAATTAATGTATTAACTGTCAGTCATACTGCCTTCCCAAAGTAGGGTGCACGGCTTTTCATTTTATGGTGTGAGAGGCAGCAGTGGTGCCTGCTGGCCCTGACCTCACCTGCAGCCGATGTAAAGCAATGGCTTAGCACTTCATGAGCACTCTATAGCAGCTAAGTGAATTTCTGAGATATCTGCATTAAAGTGATTGTGGAAAGCATGGAGGGCGGCTAACTGCAAAACTAAACTTCAGTTGTTAATGCAAAGCTTGGCCCTGTGTGCTAAAGCAGAAGCTTTAAAGATAAGTTTTAAACTGTCAATATCCTATAGTGAGCAGCTCTTCACCACCTTAAGTGCCTGATGATGAAGAATGTGCTGCCTGATGACACCTGCCACTCGGTTTGTATGCTTGCTTCTTAAGCCCTTATGACTGCCTAAAAGTTTTGAAGTATTGGCAATAGCTGCAAGTTACCTTTTGGTATGGGTGAAGCAATCTTGGCTAATAAAGTGCAACCCCTTCAATCTCTTAACTTAGCCCTTGCCAGTAACTAGGTTTTGGGCTGACATGCATACCTGCAATTAAAATAGTTCATCTTTGCTGGTTGATAATGCTGATGCCACTGTAAGTTGTGAAGGTGAGCTCATCTGAACAAGGTGCATGTTGTGCTGTACTGATGAAGCGTCCCTGACAAGCGAG